TGAAAGGCAAATCGGAAAAACCCATGAAACAGCAAACGGCCATATAATGCAAATCAATTTAAAATTAAAATTAAAACGAAACAATAGAGAAAATCCGATCAGAATGGCAAATTAAACTATAGCATCCACTGGAAGGAATCCCAATATCTGCAGACGGATCCGTTTCGGCCTTCCAGGCCTCATCAGTGCAGCTAGGATACAGACCCAAACGAAACGTTTGACCAGCTTAGGCAGTGCCCAAACTAGTCCCACGACCACTAATGATTGCAAAGCCAAACCAAGGCAATATATATATATATATATATATATATATATATATATATATATAACCTAAATACAATTACTGCTGTACGTTCTTTAATACAACGGAAAAAAATTACATTACTATGCCTATATGATACATAAAAAGCATAGTCCATAGATTTGTAATAATATTTAAATTTTGTATATACTATACATTAGTTTATGTACAAAGACATTATAATTAGTATTTAGCATTGACAATAATTGACACCATACCAACCGATGATGGACTGCCGATAGCGGAATTCAATTACATTACTATGCCTGTATGATATATAAAAAGCATAGTCCATAGATTTGTAATAATATTTAAATGTTGTATATACTATACATTAGTTTATGTACAAAGACATTATAATTAGTATTTAGCATTGACAATTATTTGCTTTGATAATTTATTAACCATGTACTTGACCAATATTGTATATCGTACTCTTTTTAGACATTCTCTGCCCAATAAGTGACGCCATATCAACCGATGATGGACTGCCGACAGCGGAATTCAATTACACAGTGGCTGTTTCAGATAACACACTGACACCGCAATGTTCGACGCCTTCTGGTTTCCTCTTTCCAATTGGTGCTACTGTAGTAGAATGTACTGTCATGGATTCGTCTATTTCGGCTGCATGCAACTTCACTGTTCTTGTTGAAGGTAGGTAAGATGAATAAGTGCACTCCGAAAGTGGCAAATATCGGTTTATATAGGTAATTGTCTATAGACTAACAACATCACTTCCTAGTTGTGTGTGTTAAGCTTTTAAATTTATTATTATTATTATTATTATTATTATTATTATTATTATTATTATTAACATCATTAACATTATCATCATCATCATCATCATCATCACCACCACCACCAATCACAACATTATCTGTACCGTCCTCATCACTATAACAATTCTCACTATTATTATCATCGTCACCATCACTATCTTCATAATCATAATCATCATCATCATCATCATCGTCATTATCATTAATAACAGTAGTTACGATGACGTTGACGTAATGGTGTCGGTAGTGGTGATGGTGGCAATAGTAGTACCGGTAGCAGCAGTATAAGTATTATACTAGTATCAGTTATAGTAGTATTATTATTAGAAGAACATATGTAGTAATAGTTTACATTACTCAAAAATAATTAATTTAAAATTGCAATTTGATATATTACATTTTAAAACAAAATACTCTGAGATTACAAGTAGAAGAAATGATGAAAACACAGTAACATTATAGTTGTCATAAATTATGATACATGTACATTGTTTGTATCTTCTTATATAATAGAAATTAAGTTCCACTGGTAAACTGAAATCAATCATGTTTATTATAGTTTATTCGTAGTCATCATCGTCATTATCGTCACCTTTATTTAATTATTGTCATTGTTTGTCATGATAATTATTAGGCCTATATGTACCTATATACTGTTACTGCACTTTAGGTAAACAAATTTAATTTCGTACAAATATGCGTGACTGAGTGACAATAATCTTTAAAAAATAAGGCCTAGGCTTGACATAATTATAAAGTTCATTTTTGTAATCGTAGTCCAATCATTATTCAATTCTAAAATATATATCAGAATAATAATAAAAAGGGGGTTCAAGTCTGTGGGGTTCAACTATTGTACTCTTCATCATAAGACATGTTACTGAAACCTACGCCTGCATAATGCCTATTAATACTACTTGAGTCTTGCTTATTGCATTGCATAATTATCGGCATGTATCAAAACCAATCTGTGGAGAATAATAAACTACTAATAAATATTAGAGTTTATTGCCGAATATTAGAGTTTATTGCCGAAGGTGATAAATTTATAACGCCACCAATCGCCACTGCCACAAAAGACCGGGAAGATCATCGCAAGTGGACCGCTTCATTAAAGGCTTCGTGTGGCAAGCCCATTAATCGGGTGAATTTGCACGCCAGCCGGACCGCTTCCAGTTGACAGGCCACAAT